ACCACCCTGGCCAATATGGTGAAACCCCGTCTCTACTAAAAATAAATAAATAAATAAAATAGCTGGGCATAGTAGTGGGCACCTGTAATCCCAGCCTCTTGGGAGACTGAGGCCGGAGAATTGCTTGAACCCGGGAGGCAGAGGTTGCAGTGAGCTGAGATTGTGCCACTGCACTCCAGCCTGGACACAACAGAGTGAGACTCCATTTCAAAAAAAAAAAAAGATTTAATTACTTTTTTTTTTTTTTTTTAACATTTTTTGCTAACCATTTCTTCCTACAATATGGGCTCTTGTTTGCTTTTTTTTTTGTACTTTGATTTTTTTTTTTTTTTAATTTCTAACAGGGAGTTGATTTTTATTCCCCAGGTGATTTTTAATTTTAAAATAAACTTGTGCTTATCCATAATTTTTTTTACTCATTTTTCCATGTAACTTTTCTCATTAGTTTTTTTTCTGGGGGTTAGTGTATATATGTATATGCACATAAAAATGTGGGTGTGTGAATACAAACACATACATACTTTTCTATAAATGAATATTCTTCCCTTATTACTTTGAATTCCTTAACACTTAATGGTGCATGGCCCTCACAGTTATTTTTATTTTTTTTGAGACGGAGTCTCGCTCTGTCGCCCAGGCTGGAGTGCAATGGCGGGATCTCAGCTCACTGCAACCTCTGCCTCCCGGGTTCAAGAGATTATCCTGCCTCAGCCTCCAGAGTAACTGGGATTACAGGCACCTGCCACAAAGCCCAGCTAATTATTGTATTTTTAGTAGAGATGGGGTTTCACCATGTTAGTCAGGCTGGTTTCAAACTCCTGACCTCAGGTGATCTACTCTCACCTCGGCCTCCCAAAGTGCTGGGATTACAGGCGTAAGGCACCACGCCCGGCCTATTTCTTTTTTTTTTTTTTTTATAAAAAGCATTCCACGCCGGGCGCAGTGGCTCACGCCTGTAATTCCAGCACTTTGGGGAGGCCAAGGTGGGCGGATCACTTCAGGTCAGAGTTCAAGGCCAGCGTGGCCGACATGGAGAAACCCTGTCTTTACTAAAAGTACAAAAATTAGCTGGGCGTGGTGGCGGGTGCCTGTAATCCCAGCTACTCAGGAGGCTGAGGCATGAGAGGCTTGAACCCGGGAGGCGGAGGTTGCAGTGAGCCAAGATTGTGCCAGTGCGCTCCAGCCTGGGCAACATGAGCGAAAACTCCATCTCAAAAAAAAAAAAAAAAAAAAAGCACTCTATAGTCTTGTCTTCAGATAAGATGCAGATATTTTTCTAAGAAAGCTCCAACTTTCAAACTTACTACACAAGTATAATCAAGTTATAACCTTCTCTCTCCTATTAGGAACATTAAATGTAATTTTTTCTGGCCCAAGAAACTTAATCATTCTATCCTTCGCATATTTCCATTTTTACAGTTTTCAAGTAAACCATTTTACTACTCCAAACTGTTACATGAAACACAGGAAAATGCTTGAAAATGAGACGTGGTGTGGGCCTCTCTCGTGGGCCTTCCAAGAGCAGCCCGATACTGTGCTGTGGTTGCTGGTGGCCCTCCCGTGGGTGTGTCCTTAAGATGTCTTTTGTTTGTTTGTTTCCCTCTTTGGAATGCCAGCATTGCTAAGTATGAGATATGTTGAAATTAGTGTCTAGATTGTAAAAAACTATCAGCAATTTCAGACCTTTCTTATTGTAAAATGCCAAATAGATCAGGGTAGGAACCTTATGATCCAAGCCTGAGAAAATTTCTTCAGTTAATATTGGGAGATGCCTGGTGTGGTGGCTCATGCCTATAATCACAGCACTTTGGGAGGCTGAGGCAGTCGGATCCTTTGAGGCCAGGAGTTCAAGACCAGCCTGGCCAATGTGGTGAAACCCCCATCTCTACTTAAAAAAGAAACAGTTAGCCAGGCATGGTGACACACGCCTGTAATACCAGCTACTCAGTAGGCTGAGGCAGGAGAATCCCTTGAACCTGGGAGGCGGAGGTTGCAGTGAGCCCAGATCACATCACTGCACTCCATCCTGGGTGACAGAACAAGACTGTCTCAAAAAAAACAAAAACAAAAAAAAAGTTGGGAGATGGTCATAATGAACTGACCAACTTTGGCATGAAACCTCAGCTTGATGTTGACAGTGCAGAGACCTGGGCAAAAGACTTTTAGCAGCCAGGTAGTCATGAATCGGTGACAGTAGCTTCCTGAGCAAGGTAGAAGTCCCAGTAGTGAGTGTGGAGTGTGGGGTTCATAGAAAGCAGATGTAGGGAGTGATGAAAATAGAAGGGGAGTTGAGAATGTTGAAAACCTCTTCCCAGTGAATTTGTTGAGCCAGGACCACCAGTGCATTCGAATAGATGATCATTTTATCTTCACTCGCCCCATCTGTTTGCTGGAGGCCCTTCCCACTGCTGCTGTTGGAGATGAAAATCAATCAGATTTGGTTCAATGAAAGACATTGTACAGCCAGTTTCATTCTCTTTCTTGTGTCCAAAAGGAGATTTTCATGATGCTGTCTGCCATTTATTGAGTACCTGTAGGTAGGACTGCAACTCAAGGTGTTTTATATTATGCCATCTCTGAACCTCCTAACTATCTCTAAGTTGGTCATTGTTTTAAGTGAGGAAGCCAAGACTTCCCATGGCGCTGTGATTTGTGCAGGGCCACTCAGGAAACGTCTGTGTGGCTCCGGACCACCTGTTCTTACTATTCTTCAGCCTGCCTCTCTGCGTCTGGATCAATTACCTTGTGAATGTCCTGCACAGTCCTGGGGGTTTATTCTGCTTAACTTTTGTTTTTATTTTTATTTATTTATGTGTTTTGAGATGGCGTTTCAGTGTTGTTGCCCTAGCTGGAGTGCAAATGGCGCAGTCTCCACTCGCTGCAGCCTCTGGCTCCTGGGTTCAATCTGCCTTACTTTTAAATGGCAGCATACATTAATATGGGTATACAAGGGTACAGTAAACAAGACACTTAGGTTAGGATTAGGAGAAACCACATTGTTGGCTTATGGTTATTTCCCTGAGAGGGCCAACTGGTTGTCCTTCATTTCTTTGTCATATTTTTTTTTAGCGTAAGATTAAATGGTCCCACCCTGAAAGCCACCATGATGAGAACAAAAGCCACTGGGTTCCCAGAATTGAGACAGTATCATTGCAGAAATGTTTGGGTCACATGTCAGCCATGGCCCTCAGTGTAGCTATTGCTGGTTTGGAGCCTTGGGTGCAAGAGATCAGAAAGGCAGGTCCCGCTGGCCCAGGACTCCACTGGGAGCGTTTGATGGAATCACGCCAGACCCCTACTGTTGACAGGACTTGGTGGCTTGTTTTATCCAAATTTGTTAGTTACCTGTCTCCTCTCTTTCCCCCGAAACCTCTCCGCTTCTTAGCTTTTGGCTTTCTTCTGCACAACTCTTTCCCAAAGGAAAGGATGAAGGTTCCAGGGCAGATTCTTGAGTGACCCGCCTGATTTACTTGGAAAGTCTCACTGCTCCCCCTCAACTATTCTGGGGTTGAGAATGTGTGCGTGAAAGGAAAAAACACATAGGAATGTTGAATTTTCCAAAGTTGAAATCTTTCAGGTCTTTAAACATCCGGTTAGTTAAACTGAGAACACTGATGTTTGAGCGTAGAGTGTCCAGCCAGACTCTGACCTGTGTCTGGGGTCAGGCCTGCACTTGGGGGTGGCTGACTAGGGTGGTCAGAGGTTCCAGCCCCAGCCGTGGCTTTGAGCAATTCCCCTATTCGCATTGCACCAGAAAGAGTTAATTCCAGTTGCACAGCTTGCTGATGTTGTTGATAATAAAGTATTTTAATGGGCTCTGTGAGTAATGTTTGTAAGGAAACTACTTGGGTGAACTGATGACTGAAACACAGATTTTTTAAAACTTTAAAAAAGATTTTAGGAGTAACTTGTTTTTACAGCTCCTTCAGTGGGATTTTTTTGGGTTGTCCCCTTCCCCCATGTTAGTTAAACAGCTCCTTGTTTGCTTTCTAAATGTTGGAGGACAACATCAATCTTACTGTTGGCTGAAAGCAGGAGGTGGGCACGGGTTTATGTAATTTAACTTCTTTTCTCTGCAAATCAGTAAATATTTACAAATGACCTTATCAAACAGTTTGGGTACATTCGGTCACTTGAAAGTGTGCAGCCAGAGGAGCGACTGCCTGTGGGCCTGCTGCCAGTTCCAGGGGGGCCTCAAAGGAAGGACTTACATTTTTAAAAATAGGCTGTCCATAGACCAAACGCCTCACAGGAAGTGGGCCTCACAGGAAGCCTCCCGCTCTCCACAGAACAGTTTTAGAAAATTTGCATTTTAAAGTTTGACTTCTAAAGATTCAACTCTTAACGGCTGGAGTCGATTGCTGGGAACTGAGGAATCCAAAAAATAAATAGTGGATTCTGAGTTGGGCTTACCATTGCTGCCTGAGTTCTTTTGTTTCTTAGGGAAGGTAATTACAGAATCCCATTCCAAGAGTAAATGTCATTCTTTTGCGAGTAAGTTGGAAAAAAACAAGGAGATTACTTTTCTGTTGTTATAAAATGGTCCCGATGTCATATGGTTTTAAAACATAACTAAATTTTTAGAGCAGAGATGGACTTTTGGGGGTGTCTCAGCCCTCTTTTTTTTTTTTCCCCTTCCCCAAACATTAGAAATCGGACACAGTTAAACTCATTTTTAGAAGAGAATGCACATGTTCTTCAACGTTGACGCTGAAAAATGAGGTGCTCCTTTTTTTAGTAGTTTGGATATGAAAATTGTAATATTGTTGTATCACCATAATCTGGTAATAATATGTTCATTTTGCCTATCAAACATAATACAAGTAAGATTGAAGTGCATTTTATGGAGTTCTATTGTCAGTATAATATTTAAGGCTGGCAAACAGTCAACAAATGAGAAAAATTTTAAAATAAATAAGTGGTAATAGCTATACATCTACTTATTGCAAAGTACTTAATAATTCTGTATTAATGCCTTTGTATTTTAATTTTCTTTGCAGAGTATTGGGAAAGGGTCGTTGTGGTGCATAGACCCAGAGTATAGACAAAATCTAATTCAGGCTTTGAAAAAGACACCTTATCACCCACACCCACACGTGTTCAATACACCTCCCACCTGTCCTCAGGCATATCAAAGGTAAGCAATTCAGACTTCTTTTTTTGGTCTACTGAAATGGCATTATTTTGGCAGAGACCTGCGTGGAAATTAATTTAATAGGCCGTATGAGATTTTAAAAATAACTGCAGGTAAATGAGAAAGAAATTAAGTATTATTAGGAGGCATATCCATTGTTGTATTTCCTACCGACCTTACCGCTGCTGCAGCTTCAGAGGAATGTGCTTCCAGAAGGCTTCATAGTGGGTGAAATCATGTCTTCCTGGGTAGAAACATTTACAAAGAAAAGTTGTGGCTTCCACATCTTGGTGTTTGTCACGTTTTGTTGGGATAAAAGTACAGGAACGAGTCAAGCAGGCGACTCCATCGTCCCCTCATCTGGCTGGTCTCTCCAGACGATCAGTGGAGGCTCACTCATTTGTCCCCGTTGTTGTCTTTCTCAGTCTCCATGTAGACGGTGCTCCCAGGTGACCATTTGTTGTGGTTACTTGGTCTTTGCTTCTTCAAGGAGAACAGTAGAAACAATAGAGACATTTCATCCTCTCACATGCCCGTTTGTTTGAGACAGTAAGGTCATGGGTACCATTTTTACAAATATATAATTGGAAGGGAGGGTAAGTAGCCTGTCACTTTTAAAAAAAAGTGTCTTAATGTTAGATTCCAAAAGAGAGCCAAATAATCAGAACCAAATTTTTAAGATCGATTTTTATCAATACATAATGCTTGAGTTTGAAATGCATTCCTCAACTCTACAAAAAATGTTTTAAAATGTATAGAAATGTTTCTATTGTAACCACCTAGTTAAGAGGAATTATCCTTGGACAGAAAGTTGAGGTTAATTAGGGATGGCATGATGTCATAGACTTCAGGAATTTTACAGTCCACTTCTTTGCAGATTCTTTTCCTAGTCTGCTGTTTGTTCTGCAGGAGGGAGCACAAAGTGATCTTCTGAAATAGCATTAATGAAGTTCTTGTGCATCTCAGTTGAGAAGCATTCCATCACAGGCCCTAGACAATCAGTCTTCAGCAAGAGACAGGGAGGAACAGCTGGGCTCTCTGAGAAGACTGCTGTATGTCTGCCTTTGCTAGGCGATTAGCGTGATGGTACCCATAGCAACTGGAGCGTCTCCATAGTAACGCGTAGCCGAGACAGGTGCAGTTGCATCACAAGGCTGTTTGTTGCCTGGCAAAAGGACAGGCCATTAGTACTTAGATATACGCTGTTGCCTTAGAAACAAATAACCCTACATAGCAACTACAGTTGGTTTGAAAGGTTTGGTGTGGGGGGGGAAGGTTGTAGCAGCTTTTGTCTGTGTTCATAAAAATCAGTGGAAGCATACTTTATTCGAAATGACAACTTGAGGTCATATAGCTGTAGGAGAGAAAATGGGATTTTCTAAAGCAGCCCAGCCAGCATCGTAGACATGTCCAGAAGGACAGAGCCATATGCTTGGTTTTCTCCTTGTGGCCATAGCCACTCCCCAAATGGAAGAGAACCAGGATTGGAGTGGAGAATTGCCGACGTACAAGGTTGGTGAAGGAGGACATGACACTAATTATTGAACTATTTCCCAGATTCTCATGTTTCTTTGTCATTCTACTCCCCCCACCCTCCAAGCTGCATGGAATACCCTTCTCTGGCTTTTCCAGTTTGCACCTCAGAAGTATTTCATCTCCCTTTGCTTCTAGGAAGTTAAGAACGTAAGTGTTACTCCCTGGGTCATGTGTTGGTTCATTTAGACCAGTATTTTGTTGCCAAATGTGACCCCGAGGGAAACACAGTAATTATTTAATAATTTGAAGGATTATAGAGGAGCTCTGGGGGTTGGAACACGAATGCATATTCAGGCGAGAGGCATTCTGAGCTGGCCTTAGCTTAATGACTTCATTTGATTTTTAATATAGACATAAAAATGCAGACGAACCAGAGCTTTTGTAATGAAAATCATTTCCAAAGGAATATTTCAGACCCCGCTCTGTCACCTCCAGCCTTTCTCCCCAGTTGACTGAGGGAAAAAAAAAAAAGAGTTTCTGCCTCTGCCCATGCGGTGCTTAGATTTCCCCTCCACAGAGGTCACTGGCTGTGGAGGGAGATGACAGATGAGATTCTAGTCTGCCTCTTCCATGCCTTAAGTCCAGGAGAACAAGTCACTTTCTCTTTCCTGGGGACTGTCATCCCTTCATCTGAAAGCTGAGAGTTTGCTTCAGGATCCTCTAGTGTGTGAAATTGCACTGAAGCCACTGAACACCAGGTAATTGTACAATATTTCGGTGTCTTACAGTGATGTGGCATTTGGCTCAATTCTAAGCCATCAGGCCACTTGTTGACATGACCTAGAGAAGATGGAAGTGAAACAAAGCGAGTCATTAAACAGGGACCCAAAAATGCCGAATTGACGTGCTCTGGCTGGGTCCACTGTGATGTGGGGAATCACCTGTCAGCCCCTTGCTGGATCGCTGTGAGGGGCACCTGGGAAGTGCTTGGCTTTCACGGGGCTGGTACTTAACATGCTGAAGAAGATAGTGATTATACTAAATGGGCGGTTATTGCTAGGACTTGCAGGTGTGCTTGGCAAATGTCACTCTGAACTGAGCTGCAGGTGGCTGGAAATGCTGCGGGAAAAGTGAGGCATTTGAAAGTACTGCCCAGACCTTGCTCACATACAAGTACCACGCTAAATATTGAGATGTGTAGACCCGTGCCTCTGTTTTCTTTTTTTTTTTGAGACGTATTCAGTACTGATGCAACCATCCTTTTTTTCTTTTTGAAACAGAGTCTCACTCTGTTGCCAGGCTGGAGTGCAGTGGCATGATCTTGGCTCACTGAAACCTCTGCCTCCTGGGTTCTGGGGATTCTCTTGCCTCAGCCTCCTGAGTAGCTGGGACTACAGACACACACCACCATACCCGACTAATTTTTGTATTTTTAGTAGAGACAGAGTTTCACCTTGTTGGCCAGGCTGGTCTCAATCTCTTGAACTTGTGATCCACCCACCTCGGCCTCCCAAAGTGCTGGGATTACAGGTGTGAACCACTGCGCCGGGCCATACCTCTTGTTTTCTAAAGTGCCCTTTTGAATGTATATTAGGATGTTCTTCCACACCTGCTTTGTTGATACCAAGTTTGTGAATTGTTTTTAATTGAAGTGCAGAGCTCAGTGTGGAATACTTCAAACCAAGTGACTTAAACAACAGAAACGCACTGTCTCTCGGTTCTGGAGGCTGGAAGTTCAAGACCAATGTGTCGGCAGGGTTGGTTCCATCCGTGGGCTGTGAAGGAGCATCTGTTCCGCCCCTCTCTCCTAGCTTCTGGTGCTTTACTGGCATTTTGCTGGAATGCTCTTGGCCTTCCTTGACCTGTAGAAACATCACTCTGATTTCTGCCTTCACCTTCACTTGGCGTTCGTTTTCTTGTGTGGTGTCTATGTCCAGATTTTCCCTTCTTGTAAGGACACACTGGTCATATTGGCTTAGGGGCCCATCTTTCTCCCATAACGATTCATCGTATTTAACTGATTACATTTTCAATGGCCCTGTTCCCAAATAAGGTCACGTTCAGATGTATTGGGGGCTAAATCTTCAATGTGTGAATTTTGGGGAGGCATAAACCACCTCATAACAACGCTTTTCTTAAGTGAGACATTTTGCTGATAAAAATATGGAGAAGCAGAAAGTAAGGAAATATTTATAGAACAAAATGATGGGGGTGGGGGCAGGGGTGTCAAAGGGATTCTCCTGAAGTTGCTCCCAGTTGCCAAAGCTGGGACAGTGGTGAGCAGCAAAATAAATAACATAATGTTGGATTATAACTGGAAATATAAATACCTATGAGTCCAGACTGATAGAAATAAATGATTGAATAAACAAACAAACAAGAGAAGAGATACATTTCCCATATAGAGAGTTCCAGATGCTTGATGTAGCTCTTTCTCCACTGAAAGAGGTGGGACAGAACTCTCCACTCCCTGAATGGCTGCACTTAATGACCTGCTTCTAAAGATGAGAGCCTGGAAAAGGGCGTTTGGAATGGACAAACCTGGTGAACGCTGTGTCACAGGTGATGAAAATACCATCCTCAGTGATGTGATGTTGATACCAGGTACCTCTCGTAGGACGTCATAAATTTGGCACTTCAGCTTTGTGGTCTTTCTCCCCCAACACATAACCCCAGTCTAGTCATGGGAAAAACATCAAACAATGATTTTGTCCTTCAGCAGGGACATTCTACAAAAATAACCCGGTCCTCACTCCTCAAAGCCCCAAGGTCATCAGAAACAGGGAAAGTCTGAGAATCTGTTACAGACCAGAGGAGGCTAAGAAGACATGATGAACAAATGTGTCCTGTGATGTCCTGGATGGGATCCTGGAACAGAAAAAGGACATGAGGGGAAAATCTGCAAAATGTGAATTAACTGTGCAGTTTAGTTAATAGTAATAGTAGTGTGCTGCATGTTTATAGCAGCACAATTCGCTGCTGCAAAGATATGGAACGAACCTAAGTGCCCATCAACCTGCGAGTGGATAAGGAAAATGTGGTATATATACACATGGAATACTACTCAGCCATAAAAAGGTACAAAATAATGTCTTTTGCAGCAGCTTAAATGGAGCTGGAGGCCATTATTCTTTTATTTTATTTTATTTTATTTTTTGAGATGGAGCCTCACTCTGTTGCCAGGCTGGAGTGCAGTGCTGCAATCTTGGCTCACTGCAACCTCTGCCGCCCACATTCAGGCGATTCTCCTACCTCAGCCTCCCGAGTAGCTGGGATTATAGGTGCCAACCATAATGCCTGGCTAACTTTTGTAGTTTTTAGTAGAGACAGGGTTTCACCATCTTGGCCAGGCTGGTCTTGAACTCCTGACCTTGTGATCCACCTGCCTCAGCCTCCCAAAGTGCTGGGATTACAGGCGTAAGCCACTGTGCCTGGCCTGGAGGCCGTTATTCTAAGTGAAATAACTCAGGAATGGTAAACCAAATATAATATGTTCTCACTTATAAGTGGTAGCTAAACTGTGAGGA